TGTTTCAACAAATATTTTTTTAAAAATCTGGAATTATGTCAAAAGGACAAACAACTTATATTCTGTTACAAACTGATTTGTAAACAAGTCAGACATCTTAAAAAGTTATCTGACCAAATGATGAAAGGTAATTCACTGAACAGTTTTGTCCAGGTATCAGAAAGCATCCACTCTAGACAAATCACGGTCAGTTTACATTGACCAATTATGGCCCACAGAGTGAATCATCTTCTCTCCACACAGTCACCACAGCTCTTGTTGCCCCAGCTCCAGTACACTAGGTGTTTCACTATAATGGACACCCCCCCCCCCCCCCCCCCCACCCCCACCCCCCCCCCCACCTTCTGTGAGAAGTACGCAAAGACCAGAGCTTCCATTTTCAAGGTCATCATTGCTATGACTTCATACAGCTTGTGTTATGTCTCTGACGACAAAGAGTCTGAGTGTCAGCCCAGAACTGGTAATTTCTCTGTACTGGTAATTAGCTTTGTGCTTTTTAAACTGATAGTACAATATTGTTCCCCACAGGACTGGCTTCAGTTAAATGAGTTCTGAAAGCCACGTCATCTTGTTTAGCCTTGCAGGATTAACCTATGTAAAGTAATCTGATTGTAATAACAAGTGTGTGTCAACATACAGGAGCTGTGATAATTATGACATTCATCAAACTTGGTTGAATAGGTTCTTGATGAAATAATTACACAAATTACTTTTTATCTTCAAGAACACTTTATTGTAAACATGTACTTGAACATACGACCATTATAGTCAAAACTAGCCAGGGACAATACAGAACTTCTCCATTTTCTCAGACAGCCAGGGACAATACAGTACCTCCTCACCTTCCAAGACAGCCATGGACAATACAGTATCTCCTCACCTTCCTAGACAGCCAAGGACAATACAGTACCTCCTCACCTTCCTAGACAGCCAAGGACAATACGGTATCTCCTCATCTTCTCAGACAGCCAAGGACAATACAATATCTCCTCATCTTCTTAGACAGCCAAGGACAATACAGTATCTCCTCATCTTCTCAGACAGCCAAGGACAATACAGTACCTCCTCATCTTCTTAGACAGCCAATGACAATACAGTATCTCCTCATCTTCTTAGACAGCCAAGGACAATACAGTATCTCCTCATCTTCTTAGACAGTCAAGGACAATACAGTACATCCTCACCTTCTTCGACAGCCAAGGACAATACAGTACATCCTCATCTTCTCAGACAGCCAAGGACAATACAGTACCTCCTCACCTTCTTTGACAGCCAAGGACAATACAGTACCTCCTCATCTTCTTAGACAGCCAAGGACAATACAGTACCTTCTCACCTTCTTAGACAGCCAAGGACAATACAGTATCTCCTCACCTTCCTATACAGCCAAGGACAATACAGTATCTCCTCACCTTCCAAGACAGCCAAGGACAATACAGTATCTCCTCACCTTCCTAGACAGCCAAGGACAATACAGTATCTCCTCACCTTCCTAGACAGCAAAGGACAATACAGTACCTCCTCACCTTCCTAGACAGCCAAGGACAATACAGTACCTCCTCACCTTCCTAGACAGCCAAGGACAATACAGTACCTCCTCACCTTCCTAGACAGCCAAGGACAATACAGTATCTCCTCACCTTCCTAGACAGCCAAGGACAATACAGTATCTTCTCACCTTCGTAGACATCCAAGGACAATACAGTATCTCCTCACCTTCCTAGACAGCCAAGGACAATACAGTATCTCCTCATCTTCTCAGACAGCCAAGAACAATACAGTACCTACTCATCTTCTCACAAAGCCAAGGACAAAATAGGACCGGTATGAAACAGCCAAGGAAAAAACTTGGCTTAGCCTAGGCATTCAAATCTGTTTAGCAATGAATCACCTCACAACAGGCTTGCATCACTTCTTGCACACAATGAGCGATTATCACACCATCAATCTTTCCAAGCTGAAACTTGCAGCAAAGAAGAGAAACAAGATGACAGTATTTGATACTGTTAATTCAACAGCAAAATGAATCTGGACCGAGTAGAAAGAAATAACTGTTAATGATCTGCAAACCAGCTTTTTGTGAGCTGCTGTGCCTTTTCACAATAGCCTTCACAATCAGCATGATTGATCTAAACAACCACTTGCTATGAAATAGTTCTGGATCAAATAAAACTTCTGCCTGAGAAAGAACCAGTTGATGGGTGGAGAATCGATACATTGAATGACCCAAATGACACTCAATAAAAAAACATGATTGGTAGATTGTGTGACTTGACTGATACTCAATAAAAAAAATCATGATGTCCTTGTAGTAGGTTCAATGTAAACGTCTAACTAAGGGAGACAACTCATCTGGGTCATGTAATGTGCAAGGGAGATAACTGGTCTGGGTTGTGTATGTTGGTAGTCCACTTGGTAATACATCTGCAGAGAAACAGCCTTAGTCCCAACTTCTTGAACAAAATGTTCAATATGAACGCTACAAGAACACTGGTGTTCAACCAGATTATGAGACATGATATCCCAATTGAAATGAAGCAATAGACCAAGGGACTTTTTCTTTTATCAAGGGATATGTTAGAATTATATCATTCTTTAGGCAACAAAATACATAATAAACAGTCGCATGATGGTGGTTCAAGTTTTGTTAAATCTCCAGGGATACAGATAACCTGATTGTTTGACCATCAAACATTGATTCCTTCTGTGATAACAACATGATTCCGACATTGATAATAAACTCTACAACTGGGCTAAGAATGAAATGATAAAATGATTCTTATGGCTGGATGATGTGCAACATATTGCCAAGCCCTGTCAAGAAGCTATACACTTAAATGTTTTATGCACTTTTGATATCTTTTGAGATAGGTAATTCTTTTTAATGTTCTCTTTCAACTTTCATTTCATTCTGAAATCATCACTTGGGGCAAAATATCATTCAAATTGCTCAACAAATTCACATCACAAGAATGGCATAGAAACTTTCTAAATTCACATTTTCTTTGATCTTTTCTTCTATGATAATTAACACATGCAATTCCAAGTTATGGTGGTTGTGAGAGGTGAAATGGATCAGGTTGTCAGGCTTGGCTGTTTGCATGTCATCATACCTGACAGCATGGATCCTTGCTCATAATATCAATCACTGGTTTGTCTGGTCCAGACTCTATAATTTACAGGCCAGTCTCTTACAGCTGGAGTATTGCTGACTGTCATCTTGCCCTGATGGCATGGATACAGCTGGAATACTGCTGTCTGTCACTTTGCCCTGGTGGCATGGATACAGATGGAATATTGCTGACTGTCATCTTGCCCTGATGGCATGGATACAGCTGGAATACTGCTGTCTGTCACTTTGCCCTGGTGGCATGGATACAGGTGGAATATTGCTCACTGTCACCTTGCCCTGATGGCATGGATGCAGATGGAATATTGCTGTCTGTCACTTTGCCCTGGTGGCATGGATACAGGTGGAATATTGCTGACTGTCACCTTGCCCTGATGGCATGGATGCAGATGGAATATTGCTGTCTGTCACTTTGCCCTGGTGGCATGGATACAGGTGGAATATTGCTGACTGTCACCTTGCCCTGATGGCATGGATGCAGATGGAATATTGCTGTCTGTCACTTTGTCCTGGTGGCATGGATACAGGTGGAATATTGCTTACTGTCACCTTGCCCTGATGGCATGGATGCAGATGGAATATTGCTGACTGTCACCTTGCCCTGATGGCATGGATACAGGTGGAATATTGCTGACTGTCACCTTGCCCTGATGGCATGGATACAGCTGGAATATTGCTGACTGTCACCTTGCCCTGAGGGCATGGACACAGCTGGAATATTGCTGACAGTCACCTTGCCCTGATGACATGGATACAACTGGAATAGTGCTGACTGTCACCTTGCCCTGATGGCATGGATTCAGCTGGAATATTGAGGACTGTCACCTTGCCCCGATGGCATGGATACAGCCTGAAAATTGCTGACTGTCACCTTGCCCTGATGGCATGGATGCAGCTGGAATATTGAGGACTGTAACCTTGCCCTGATGGCATGGATGCAGCTGGAATATTGAGGACTGTAACCTTGCCCTGATGGCATGGACACAGCTGGAATATTGAAGACTGTCACCTTGCCCTGATGGCATGGACACAGCTGGAATATTGCTGACTGTCACCTTGCCCTGATAGCATGGATACAGCTGGAATATTGCTGACTGTCACCTTGCCCTGATGGCATGGATACAGATAAAATGTTACTGACTGAGTCACACTTTGTATTGATGGCATCGATAAACATCTAACGGCACTCTTTCAAATCGGCCACTTTTTCTGGAAGCCAATATATTTAATTTTGTTCAACACACACATCATGTACACCAGTGGGAAATCTGCTGAGGTTGCAATTCAAGAACCGAAAGACCACAAAGGGAAAATTGCTTCCTGTCCATCGTATAAAAGATAACATTTGTCAGATGTGCTCTGTTATTTCAACAGCTGAGTGGGAGGTAAATGAATTGTTATTCACAAAATATGCTGCCACTGGTTCTTGATGAAACAAAACAAAAGACAGAGCAGTTCCAAATTTGATTGAAATCTGACCCCATGATTATTTCCTACTCAATCGAAACACTGGTTTCTTCTAGCCCTGCACACTTGGCATATGTTTGGAATTCCGAATCTCAAACCTGACACATACTTTGTATTCTTGGAGCCGACACAATCAAATCCACTGATGATGTAACAATGGTCATGTGACCATGCAATTGGTTTGTGGTCTTGGGTTGAATGGGTGTGTGAGTGCGAGACATTGTTTTACTGCATGTTACTTCTGGTACAGATTGCAAATAGTGGCAGTTTCTTGGAGACCAGAATCAACAACAGGAAAAAGTACTGTCAACATTTGAGTGTTGTAAGTGGAGCGAAACATTGCCTACTGTCACTGCGTGGCAGCGCTAAGCAGGGACATGGAGCAGTGAGAAGAGCCACTAACCTTTGAGGGTAACCATCTGGGTGATTGGTTATTCATGAGGTGCTGTCTGAATCTGGGAGGGAGAGGAACAAACAGCAATATCTTGATAGCGTGCAATGTGTTTATCTCAGGGCATCCCTCTGTCAGACCAACACAACTAATCAATGTTCACTGCCTTCTCCATCTCATTCAGCCTGCTCTCTGCTCTACTACGGTTGAAGCGTGGGAGAATCACAGCCTGCAGGCTGGAGGAAGGGGTGGTGGGTGGTGAGGTGGGTGGGTAGTACAGATTCCAGATGGTGGGGTTGGGGTTCCTAGAGGAGGGTCCTGTTGTGGCTGTTGTAGAGAGCAAGGAGGGATGTCCTAGAGGGGTGTCCTGTGGTGGGTGTTGTAGAGAGCAAGGAGGAATGTCCTAGAGGGGTGTCCTGTGGTGGGTGTTGTAGAGAGTTAGGAGGGATGTCCTAGAGGGGTGTCCTGTTGTGGTTGTTGTAGAGATTTAGGAGGAATGTCCTAGAGGGGTGTCCTGTGGTGGGTGTTGTAGAGAGTTAGGAGGGATGTCCTAGAGGGGTGTCCTGTGGTGGGTGTTGTAGAGAGCAAGGAGGGATGTCCTAGAGGGGTGTCCTGTTGTGGTTGTTGTAGAGAGTTAGGAGGAATGTCCTAGAAGGGTGTCCTGTGGTGGGTGTTGTAGAGAGTTAGGAGGGATGTCCTAGAGGGGTGTCCTGTTGTGGTTGTTGTAGAGATTTAGGAGGAATGTCCTAGAGGGGTGTCCTGTGGTGGGTGTTGTAGAGAGTTAGGAGGGATGTCCTAGAGGGGTGTCCTGTTGTGGTTGTTGTAGAGATTTAGGAGGAATGTCCTAGAGGGGTGTCCGGTTGTGGCTGTTGTAGAGAGTTAGGAGGGGTGTCCGAGAAGGGTGTCCTGTTGTGGTTGTTGTAGAGATTTAGGAGGAATGTCCTAGAGGGGTGTCCGGTTGTGGCTGTTGTAGAGAGTTAGGAGGGGTGTCCGAGAAGGGTGTCCTGTTGTGGTTGTTGTAGAGATTTAGGAGGAATGTCCTAGAGGGGTGTCCGGTTGTGGCTGTTGTAGAGAGTTAGGAGGGGTGTCCGAGAAGGGAGTCTTGTGCTTGTAGAAAGTTAGGAGTGGTGTCTGAGAAGGGTGTCTGGATGGTGATGTGGGGGGTTTGGAGGTGTTAGGAGGGGTGTGCGGTTGTGATGGTTGTAGAGAGTTAGGAGGTGTGTCCTAGAGTGGTGTCTGGATGGGGTTGAGTGTTAAGAGGTGTGTCCTGTTGTGGCTGTTGTAGAGAGCAAGGAGGGATGTCCTAGCGAGGTGTCTGGATGGGGTTGTGGTGTGTTAGGAGGTGTGTTAGGAGGTGTGTTAGGAGGGGTGTAAGGAGGGGTGTCCAGTGAGAGATGTGCAGTGACAGGTGATGTGAAGGGTGGAGAACAGGGTGTTGGGATGTGTGTTGGGTCGGTTATCCAATAAAGGGTGTGAAAAAGCATAGAGAAAGGAGTGTTTGGATGTGTCTTGGCAGGGGTTTGGGTGTATGTTGGGGTGGTTGTTAGGATGTGTGTTAGGGTGTGTGTAGGGTTGTATGGGGCTAAGTGTTGGCAGTTCTTTTAACGCTGCATGTACAAAAACACAATGGAACTTCCCTTATCTAACAACTGTCTTTGTAAATATGTCTTGTTGATTAAACATCTAGGTATCTGGGTCTGATTGGAAGGGGTATTTATTTGAATAGCAATCCAAGACTACCATTCAAACGTTAACTCAACATCACTGCTTTAATCAATACTGATTGATAAACCAAGTTCATTTATTTTAGTCCGATTAAATCTTCAGAAGTGTCAATACTCCACCTCTACCCTGCACATGACCAGTGAATGCCCACTCCTCAATGTGGGGGCACCAAGATCACCTAAACAAACATCGCTCCCCATTTTGATTGCGTTGGTTGAGTGAACCAGTTTTATGTATCTTCAGCCATTTTGGTATATAAATATGGCTTTCTTGATCCAGAAATTAGATTTCCGGATAAATGAATAAATTAATGTTGGAACAGGTTGGTTAAATATCACCTACAAGATGGGAATTTCACATATCTAGTCAGGGGTTAGAAATAAATTTGTAGTTTAACTTGCCGCAAAAACGATCCACTACAGTTTTATTTTCTACGGAATAGGAAAAGTTGTAGACACAAGGCATGTCACATAAAAGTCATAATCCTGAAAGTTATTAGTCTCAGGCTAACATACTTATGTTACTCTTGAACGCTGTACATGTCAAGACAAGTGAGAGTTACTCAACAGACTTTACCAAGAAGTGAAACTTTGTAGTATGAGGACTTGATAGATCACATGGGTGATGGGGGTGGGGTGGTAGTTAGACTAGTGGTTAAAACGTTTGTTCGTCATGTCGAACAGCCGGGTTCTATTCCCAACATGGGACAATGTGTGAAGCCTAGTTCTGGTGTTCCCCGCCGTGATATTGCTTGAATACTGCCCACTCACTTACATGGGTGATGGATAATCCATCTCAAGGATAACAGCAGATACAAAAAGCCTTGTGGGTGAGTTTGGGGTTTTACGAAACAGAAACACTTATTTTTTACATGGGAAGACTATGACTCGGGCCATATAAGTGGACCAACTTAGGCATGCTTTTTGTACATGTGTAAAAGCTGAATTCAAACCTACGATCAGTGGATGTAAAGGGTTCACAAATACAGCAAAAAGGTTCTGTAGCTCACCTGAATTAGGAACAAATAATAGTAGCAATGTCTTCAATCAAATCGGAATTCTGTGACTACTTTTTAGAGACACTGTATCTGGGATAATTCATATATAGTTTCAGCCTTGTAGCTGTAGATGAGATGTTGAACATGCAATGACCTTGAAAAAGGTCAAAGGTCAAAGGTAGTAGATTGTAAAACATGCCAAACAACATATAACATGTTGTACCAATTACCTCATGTTTGTTGCATAACAACTTATCATAATGACACAAGCAGATATGGCTGGGTGATAGACAAAAATGATATTTTCAATATGGCAGCGGTGGTGTCCATGTTTAAAATCAGATTGGAATTCTGTGTGCATGTTATAGAGACATCATGGTTGCAGTCACTCATACAAGGCTTAAGCTCTTAAGGCCTTATACTTTCAGAGGAGATGTCGGTTAACAATGGACCTGTGAAGATTCTGGGGTGGAATAGGTCTTCAGCAACCCATGCTTGCTGTAAAAGGTGACTATGCTTGTCGTAAAAGGCGACGAACGGGTGGTCAGACTCGCTGACTTGGTTGATGCATGTCATAGATCCCAATTGCGTGGATTGATGCTCATGATATCAATCACTGGATTGTCTGGTCGATTATTTACAGACCGCCATCATATAGCTGGAATATTGCTGAGTGCGGCGTTAAACAACAAAACCAACCAACCAATCAACAGGACAGACAACATGCCGCAAGATAAGCTCATTTGACTTTAGTTACAGTTCAAATGTTGTCAGCTAAAGAGACCCCTGATTTCAGCAAACTAATTACACATGACAATTAGGAATATTAGGCTGTGCTTCCTCAAACCAATTGGGAACTTGTAGATGGGTTGTTGACTGTGTGAGGAAGCCAGGTTCTTGGCCTAGTCCTCATCTGCTAACTGTGTGTGTGGTTCAGGCCTGTTAGCTTCACTTGCTCAAGTCCCAGGAGTTGAGGTCAGTTACACAAATGTGAATGGCATACCCCCATGCCAAATCCCAATGTATCTGGATTTGCTCAGCAAGTCAGGATTGCTTGCTTTAACACACATCATTCCATATGCAGTGGTGGCTTATTCGGACTCTCGTCCATGTATCTGGCGCTGCATAAACACCATGAAGATGAATGAACCATCGGATTCTATGGAGCACGCTTTGTCCATGGCATTGATAGCTTGGATGTTGGTGGAGAGAATTATTGTCAAGATTTGTTGGGAATCATACTCAGTGAAAGTTGTAGATATATTTTATCAGGTTGGCCGGGTGTTATTGTGATGCTTGATCAGGGAACCACATCTACAGGTTCACAGCCATTTAAATATTGCTGCTATTTAGTCAGTTTGTTTTTAGCTATTGTATTGTAACATAACAATACTTTTGCCTGGATAACATAACATAATTTACAGGTAGAGCTGAAAAGAAGCGTGTTAGAATGTGTTGGTGACCCACGTTCGCCTGCTAAAATGTGTTGAAACCACTAAACTATCAGCATCAATGATTTAATTACTTTACAATAACTTAATAACCTTCACATGGAAACTAATGCAGTGACTATAATATCTTAGCTACTTTAGGCTTACCCAACGGAGATCAATGTTTACCGAAATTTTGACGGCGCAGTCTCAAGGTAAAAAAACAACATGGAACCCCTCTCTTTTCAAACCTTGCACGATGACTTCATCATAGTTTAATAGACATACTAGATACACCTTGTTGTATCAGTATTTTAATCTAATGTCAGACCAATTTCATTACCGGGGGTACTTGTTTAACACATTCTGTAATAGGAAAAAATCCAGTCTAGTAACCATTTATCTTAAAATGTACATTTACATTGACATTTTGACTCTGCTTGTCCTCTCCTGCTAACTCCAGAGAAGACTTCAAAAGCAAAGTGTCTGTGTTAGTGAGTGAGTGGAGTTTATACTTCTTTTAGCAATATTCCAGCAACATCTTTAGTGGGAAGAGGCCTTGATAGATTCATGATGAGAACTGAACCCGGGCCTTCAGGGTGACAAGCAAAAGCTTTAACCTCTGGGTCACCCAATCATCCGTTGTCTATGGTAAAGGTATCCAGAGAGCTGGTCAAATTCCAGACCATTCCATGCGGATGGGGGGTCGTCGCTTAATTGAGTGAATGTTAAGTTGCATCCCCGCAATCATGTTGGAAGCTAGAGGTATCTATATGCAAACAGGAACCCATGACCCAGCAATTTGTCCCACCATACATAACTTTACATATAAGGTACATCATTGATGAGAATGATCATATAAGTAGTCACCGATTACTGGGTATCCTGAAATGGCAGATCCAGAGAACATGACAGCTTATTTACCAAGGAAATGAAGGTTTCAATAATTCTTCTCAGCTTCTGGTACCTTGTGTTATTGGCTAATCATTCCATCATCTTCTT